ATGACTAAAAGATGCGACAGAAATTGAGCTTTTTGGCATGTACATCAGCTCTTTCTTCAGGTTTTGCACTAAAATCATTAGGGATTCTTTAAAGGCTGAGTTCCTGCTACAGGCGATATTTAGGTACCAAAACAACACCAAGACACAATCGGTGCCTATAAGGGTGATGTTATAACGTGTACTCTGTAGCACTGAAGTCATACTTCTGGTTCACTGGTGCTGAGCACATCAAAGGTGGGCAAGCTTTCTCCTCTGCAATATTATGGTGACTTTATTCTAGTTGTCATTGTGGGGTGGAATGGGATACTTTCCTTGGCCTTACTGGCCCCACTGGGGCTCCAGTCAAATGAGGAGTGCGTGTCCCCAGCTAGATGGAGAGCAGGGTGGTGGGTAGGGAGTTAACCTCTGCCTGGGGGCTGCATTGTGGCTGGTGCCTGGAGTGTCTCTGCTGCAGTTCTGTTCCTGATGAGCTTAGGGATATGAAAAGGCCCTTTAAGGCAGCTGGAAGGGGGCTTGGTTTAATGAAGTGTAATCCCTTTAGAAATTGCAAGCACTTTCACATGACCCGATTCCAGCTCACCCTGACAGAGGACCCAGGGCTGTTCTGGTGGAGTGCTGGCACTCAGGAAGGAGCCAAATGTCTGTGAGTATTGCTGGTGCTGCAGGTGGGGAGGTGTTGGCTCTGATGCTCCTCTGCAGGTCAGTGTGTGACACTGAGATGTGACTCCTGCCCTGGCCATGGCTGCGTTGGCTGGCCAGCATGGTGAGGTGTGAAGCACGGCTCTGGGGAGCATTTCTCCTCCAGAAAACACTCATCTTTTTAAGGGACAGTGCAACAGCTCCCGTTATACTTACCATACTGTTGCTAATCTTGCTCAAAGCCAAAACAGGGCATGTTTTTAGATTATTAGGGTGCCTTATGAGAGAGATCTTGAGTTCAGAGCTTGTGAAACTCCGGTTGGGTTTAATGGTCAGAGCTACTGGAACTGATGTGTGGTGTTAGTCTAGTATCTTTGCCTGCAGTAACTGCTGAGTGAACTGGTGCCCTGTACCACAGGGTCTATAAAGGATGGCCTGAAATTTCTTTTGAACTGAAGTTCTGTTCTGTAACAGTCAGGTGAGCAATAAAATATGACTTTCCCCTGTGCTGTTTTCTCCAGAAATAGTCCACTTAGTGGCTTGAACCTGGAAAGTGTGAAAATAGGAAGCTTGCAGCCCACAGACCAGCAGGGTGTAACAGCCTCCTGGCATTCAGGAAATCCAGGGAGGAAAGAAGCTTTAGCTCAGGATCAGGGTTCTGTAGGTGCTGATGCTCTGTTGTGCTGACTCTACCTGTTGTTCTGACTGGAGTTCCCTAGTACCCTGTTCCTGTCTCAGCTTAGGACAAACCCCTGGTGCTGATGCAGGTACCGTGTGTGTGACGCAGGGCGGTGCTGTCGCTCTCCCCTCTGTCCTGCCACGTGCTACGGGTTTTCATTTTCGGAAGCAGCTGTAGCAGGTCATTGGTGGGGCTCACTCAGACCTGGAAGATAACTGATAATCATTGCTCCTAGTAAAACTTGCTGTGAATCTCAGTGGGGCCAAAAGCAAGACTTGAAAGTATATGGGCAGTGTTAAAATTTGTGAAAAAATGTTGCAGATAGACTTAAAGTACCAGGCACCTATCTCCTGTGTTTTGCTGAACAACATGAGAGGAGGATAGTGGTGTCCTGTAGCTTGTGAAAGCTCTTGCCTGTCAAAAGGAGCTTTCTTTAGCTGCAGCTGCTCTGGGGGCTGGAACAGTGTCTTCCATGCAAGAGGTTCTGTCTGTGCAGAAGGTCTTGCCTTCACCACAACACTGTCCTTGGCAGCAGGAAGCTCTTTAATATGCTCTGGTAGTGTTGACCTTTAGCTCTGCTTAGACTGGTAGAACAATGGTAATTCTTCAAACAAAGAAGAGCTGCTAGGTTTCTAGCTCTTTCCTGTAGCTGTTATTAAATGAATTGGTTAAATGTGTGTGCTTTTTTCCCTGGAATATTTTTTAGCGTGGTCAGTATAAATTTGCCTGTGGAAATGTGATAATCGATTTCTCTTTGCAGTGTGCAAGATGGCTTCCTCTGGAGACTTCACATAATGCTAATAGCTGGTTTTATGCAAAATATTTTATTAAATGCTGATAGAAAGACAAAGGAAGGTTATTTAAAGGCTAACTACCAGGGCAAGACTTCTGCTAGTTTAAGATCTTAAGTAGGATTTAGAAGGTTGGGGACGTTTGGATGCAGCAGTGAGTACATTATGAATGCAGTGATGGAAAAAATTCAGTGAGTGGATTTAAATAGGATTTCGGTATAAATTAATGTTAGAATAGTATTTTTGGTAAAGCTGTTGATTATTAAATCTAATAAGTCCTCTAAAAACATCTACTGAATGTTGAATGTTTAAGACAAAAGTTTGGTAACTACATTTTGGAAAAGGGGTGTAAGGTACTTGGGGGATGAGTGACTTGGGGGAGAGGCCAGGACCTTGTGATCTGATTGCTGGTGAGCAATGTCTTTTTCTCACTGTATTTACTTCTATTCCTTGTGTCTCAGCAGTGTGCACCTTCCCTGTCTCAACTAACAGAGCTAGATTTCTATATTCAAGCTGGTTATCTTACTGAGGAGCATTTTATTCTGTTTGTAACCCAAATGGTAAACGTGCTGATAGCTATGCCAGCCCTCAAACCTAAAAAACTTCATTAGATGGTTTAGAAATAGAAAGTATAAAAGCTTAATGCTGACAAATCTTTGGGCTTTTCTTAGAATAAATACTGATGGACAACTAGATAAATTATTTAATTGCATGCACATGCAGGGCCTGGCACCAGTTGTCAGAGTAGAGCAGTCTTCAGATCTCTTGTAGTTTGTCTGAGCTGCTGGCAGACCACATGAAGATCAGCAAAACTGACACCAATAGTGAGATGGCACCTGGGTGCCTTTCAGCTTGAAGCTCCCTTGATGTTTGGTTTTTCAGCCTTTTTATGTGCTTGGAGAACTGATTTGTGTTTCTGTGCCAGGGATGTACAAAAATGAAGCGACGCTCAGTAAAGCTGCGTCTGCTCTGAAGTGTTGTGAAGCCTCTTATCTGCTAGCTGTGAACAGAGAGCAGTGCCTCACCACCTGGAAGAGTAGAAACCTCACTGCGTGTTTCCCGTTCACAACAACTGGCTCAAAAAAAACCTGACTTGGTAGCATGTGAGGAAAAAATTCTTTGTATGTTGTGTCCACACTAATGAGGGCTTAACAAAGCTCAGTTATACAGCAAACTAACTTCTCAGCCAAGTATTAAACTACTCTGAAACAAGAGGTGAAAACATCCCTGGTACAGCCCAGGACGTGCTTTCCCAGCTCTGCCTGCTGAGGGTTAGCAGCAGGGAGTCGAGCGTGTCGGAGCTCTGTGGGCTGGGGGAAGCTGGGGTACTGGGGTGTGGTTCCCTGAAGCACAGGCACGTTTCCTGTGGTATCTTAGCTCATGCTGTCTTCTAAAGTAGCATATGCCGAATTTGCAAGTGCAGGCCCCATTCAGGACTTCACTGCTCCTAAACATGGGGTTGCTACTCATTCTGAGCACAGGGGGGCTTTGCTAGGGGGAAGAAAGTGTCTCTCTTCTTGCTGAAGGCACTGACTGATGATGGTAACTGGTTGGATAGCTTAAGTGCATTCACAGGAGTGATAATGAAGGAATTTTGCTGGTTCCAGCACAGGATCTTATTTTACAGCGATAACAAAGATGTGAGTCTTGCAAATGAGTATTCTGCATGAGTTATGAGGATACTTACTGAAGCAGTTTTATTTTAAATTTGAAGATCTGATTTACTCCAAATAGCTTAAAAGCTATTGGGGCACATATTGCAAAGAGCTGCCACAAATGTTTCAATGCTGTGGTCTGGTGCTTCCTCTGTGACAGAAATGTCTTCCATCTGCATTCAGGTAGGAGTATTCCTGTCTACCCCTGCGAATCTGCTCTGCCTTCCAGTTCTGAGTGGAAATGGCTATGTTATACACTACTGCTTGAGGTGAAGTACCTCTGCTCTTTAACCTGCTTCATGAAACCTGTGGGTGAAAGATGTACAGATGTCTTCCTGCTTCTGTGGGATGAAACTGCAAACTCCATTGCTGCAATCCCTTGCCACTTTCACTTCACATGTGAAAACATTGCCATGAGACTTTCCTGTCCAGTTAGTGTGTCATGTTTCTTCTGAAAACATTAATGGTCTTACTACTTATGTCTAAAGCTAATACCATAATGAAATCTTGACTGCAGTATTTAATGACACCTAAACCATTTCTGCAGTATTTAGAGGCCTTTCACCTCCCTGGAGGAACTGGAAAGCAGTAGGCAACTATGTAGAGATACTTCTGCTGCTTTGTGAAGTGTCTGCACGTACTGTAGCAAGTGTTAGTTCAGTGTATGTCCTTTTTGCATGTGTATGAGAGCTCATCCTTGAGTCCTGTCTGCTTCGTACCCACAGTCCCTGGAGTGTGTCAGGGATTGTGCCTCACAGGACCTCCAAACACCCGTGGAGACTGGAACAGTGTTGTTGGCATTGACTGGTCTTCTGTAGCAGGCTGAGCTGTTCATACTTCCAGGGAGCTCGTTGACACTCATCCTTCCAATGAGAGTGATGGATGTCTGGTTGTGTGTAGTGGGATGTGGAACATCTCTGCTCTTGTGAAAGAGTCCAGAATGTTCTACACTAGAAGTTCAACTTCATAAGCTGTAAATGGCTCTCACATGTGTCAGTGTATAGATAGGAATATTAGTAGGAACAGAGAGGATGAACTTGTGCCTCTTGGAACATGAAAGTTATATTCTACAGGGAAACTGGCAACACTGAGCTGGCAGGGCAGATGAGTTTGTAACTGATGGCAGTGAAATTCCTGGAGGCTTGGTAGCTGTAGGCAGATGTTCTACATGAGACTACCTGATAATAAAACCCAACATGTGTTGTAATGGCATATTTTTCTGTCTTCCAGATCAGTGTGCGTGTTACCACCATGGATGCTGAGCTGGAGTTTGCCATCCAGCCCAACACTACGGGGAAGCAACTCTTTGATCAGGTAAGTGAGGGAACTGCAGATCATCTAAAGTTGATACAGATGTTGTGATTCTATTAAGACAACAGCAAACAGTTTCTAAAGGACTTCAAAGATTAAGTGACAGTGTGTATACTAACTTGAAGAGAACTCATCATAGTAAGGAGTTAGAAACCTTTTACAAAACTGCATTTTTTTTTTTTTTTTTAATCTCCAAGAATGTGTTAGGAGCTAGTCTCAGCTCTAATGAACCGAACTGGTGCCACAGCTTATAATAATAATTGGAAAGCAATAGATGTCTGTAGTCTTATTTCATAAGGTAAGTCTTATGAGTGAGCTGGTAAGCTATCTTTGGTTGGTATACTGGCAAGCATTGCGTAATTGATTTCAAATAATGGTCTCTAAAACAGGAGAAGCCTAGCCAGGTTTCAGGTGTTGCTACAATTCTTAAGTGCAGGTGAAGTCGTATTCTATATTCCCATCAGGCCCCGAGGGAAATCTTAAGAGAAGTTGTGTACTGTATTGCATTGGACTCTTCATCTGGGTGCTTCAGCCTTCCTTTGCATTCACTGGCTAGGTGATTTTTCTCCTGCTTTGGTCAGACAGAAGCAGGGAAGTGTGGGCAGCCCAAAGCTGGAGCAGTTGAAGAGAGACTTTTTTTCAATTGCAGTGGCTGAAGCTTTGGCAGGCTCCACTAGGTTTTTCTGCTGTAATCATGAAGGCTGTGGATTTGCTACTTGGAGAAGAATCTTTAACAGTATTTATAGCTTAAAGAAAATGAATCTTGGATTTATGACAAGATGAAGAATCTGCCAGTCCTGATAGGTCAGATACGGGTGTGGTTCCCTTGTGCTAAGTGTTCTGAGGCCAGCTTTACATAGTACCTCTCTTAATGAGGAGACAAACCGAAGGATGACCCACCCATAGGAGTCAGCTATTTCATTTGGGGCCAACAAACTTAACTTAAAAGGTTTTTTAGATGTTTAACCACAAACTACTACTTTTTCTCATACTCAGCTGGATGATTCAGCACTACATATTATATTTGCAGCCCAGCCCTCAGATGGAGGGAACAGAGTGAAATCCTAGGCTGCAGTAAAGGAACGTGCTGCCATCATGGGAGAGGTGGAAAGGCTTCCAGGAGATTCTGCAGCATAGTTCTCAGCTGTCTGTGGTACTACGTAACAGCTCCTACATGTTTTAGCATTGTGTGGTTTCAAATCTGCCAGTTTTTGATTGATAGAAGTGGGAGCTGGATTCTGTGTGCAAGATGTAACTCCACCACAGTTACTTTGTGTGAGGATATGCCAATGAAACTGAGGTGATGTTCAAAAGATGAGCTTTTTTTTTGAGAGAGAGTGATTTTCATATGGATGCTTATTTTTCCATACCTGGTTTCTGACATTATCCAAGCAAAGTACCAGGTGTTAAGAAGTGAATCTGCAGGGAGTGGTATTTTGAATCTGCACATTTTTTTTTTTTTCAGTCAGCTCCAGACTATCTGCAGCTTTTGCTGCAAACTGACATTGCAGTGGCAGACTTGGGATTCAGTGAGTTGTCTCTGAGAAGCATCTGATCATGTTTCCAGCATGGGAACTCTTCATGTGATAGTAATTGATTTCATTCCTTTGGGTCATGTCTTGAACAGCTGCATGTTCTTTCTGCAGTTTCACACAGCACCTGTCTAAACAGAAGTTTGACTTCACGAAGGGAGGCAACAAATGCTGTTGCACACTAAGTTGCTAATGTAAATGAGGCAGGGTTTACTTCAGCTAAAATGGATTGTCAGTGGTGATGGAAGAGAAAATGGGGGGGTGTAGGGGGAAGGGGAGTGTCCAAAGCTAGCTGTTAAACATTTGCTCTTTCTAAAAGGTCTGGTGGATATCATCTCTTTATACTCTCCATATATCACATTTGCTGAACTAAGAATTAAACTGTTTTGTACTGCCTAGCACACAAGATGTCCCTGTAGAGGTAGTGATGCTGTTCCAGATAGGGCTGATGCTGAAATGAATGTCCTAGAGCCTCCCCAGCAGCTGATGGCCAGGCTTTTGACTAAATGGCTAGTCAAAGACCTAGCACAATGGTGCTGGGTGATGTTAGTCTGGTATCACCACGGTGACAGTGGTAGAAAGACAAACCTTCTGCGAGGGCTTGGGAATGTTGTAAGCTATAAGGTAGGGGTTTGGCACTAGATGTGGGGATGTCAAGTCTTCTCCCTCTAGTATATATTAGGAATTTTAGATGATACTGCTGTAGGAGTGGTTGAGGAGTCTAATCCCAGCTTCTCTTGCTGCCTGGCAATGTAATCTTTAGCCCTTTACAATTAAGGAAACTAATTGCAAAGGAGGTAGCTATTTGGCTCCTGCCTCAATGAGAAATGTTTCATCTTGGTCTCTGAATGCATATACACAACAGACTATCTGTCCATTTGTTTTTTTAATGGAAAGTCAAGGCTCTTTTCTATTGCAAAAAAGGCTTTATAGTCAGACTCGCACATAAAGGAAGGCAAGTACTTCTCATATATGGACATACTCAAACAGATAATTGATTATTGATGAGAACTAACTGAATACCAAACCAAAACATGAGAGCCTCTAGTAAACTGAGAGTAAATACTAAATGTGCTCCCTTTAGTATGGGCATGTGGGTTTAAATAATCGTCAGCTGGCATATATCCAGTATGTTTCAAATGGCTGAGCTGTTTGTGTGGATTAGTTCCTGTAAGGGACAGTCTGGAGCTGTTCTCCCTGCTGACACTGCTAATGGGGACTAAACAGTGACTGCTGTCTGACTGGTGATCTGTTCACTCTATCAGTTTCTATCTTGAAGGTGGTCTTGGGTCCCATGATGGGGTGTGTAAGAACAAAGTTCATTCTAGCTCCCTTGAACTGTGTTGTGCTCCTGGAACTGCTAGTCTAGTACTTTGTGTGATTCTGGTTCTGAAAAAAGAGCTGCTTTCATCACTGATTTTTTTGAGGGAAGGGAGAGTTCCTCTACAAAGCAAATTTACAGTTTTGCTGTTGCAGCACTTTGACCTTCGGGTGTGAAACCTGACTTTTGACTCTTTCACAATAAAATCCTAATATCCTGCATATTTTTGCTCTAGAATGCCCTTTCACTTTGAGCCATTAGTTCTGAGTTAAGCAAAAAGGAAGCTGCTAAGCATGACCAATGTTTTTAGCTAGACAGCTACCTTGGTGCATGCTGCTGGCTTTGTTCAGTAATGTTTAGGCAGCATGTGTTTCCACTTGTGCTGTTTAAGGGAAGATAAATATATTCATTATGCCACACATTCTGACCTACTCTGAACAGGATTCAGAAAACTATTGGAAAGCTTATATCTAGGTAGTAGCAACTTCATGAAGAACATTTTCAGCCAAAAGTTCCACAGTAATAATAGGTGAATGAGCTTGAATTTTTGTAGTGTTGTAGACAATGCAGATGCTTCACTGTTTTCTTGGAAATAATCTTTTGCCCAAAAGTAGCTGGCTGTAGAAATATTATTGAGCTGATACATGTTGCAGTAGCATAACGATTTGTACTGGAGATCTTACTATATCACCCCATCCCCACGTCTTAACTGCACAGCTTCAGCTTGAACAGCTTAAGCTTGTAAGCACAGACAAAACCTGGATTGAGACAGGAGGATTTTACTGTCTGTTTTCTGTGTCTTTGCTTATGTACCTCTTAGCATCAGCTGCTGGATTCCAGTGCTTTCTGACTCACTAGTAAAAACAGTAACTCTGCTCCCATCCTTCAGCCACTAGTGATGGACTAAAAGAGGAGCTTGGGGATGTGCTATGCCTGTCAGGGGTGCTGCTCATCCCACAGGCCCAACTGCTTCCCGGGAATTACCTTGGCATACTGCGTTCCTGGGAATGCAGGGCACAGGCACTGCAGGAGTGGCAGCTGCTTGTCTCCTACGTGCTGCATGAGGCAGCTTCTCAAATGCTGTTTCTGATCACTTCTGACCTCGTATCCTACTAGCACCGTGTTCTTTCATTCCCCTTCAGAGCCCCTTATTTCTTCTAGTCTCTGGTGGAGTCTTAGCTGTCTGCTGTGCTAGGTCTGTTGGGTGGTGGATGCAGTCAGTGGGTGGGCATCTCTATCCATTCCACAGGCCTTACATCAGGATTTTTATTTAAAAATGAGTTGTACTTGCTAAACTATTCAGGCAGTACTTCCTTCCCCAACCTAAAACGAACTTTCTTTAGCTTCAGAACAGATTTACTTCTCAGTGATGTGTTTAAGTGTTTTCTGAGGCTATAACTGGCCATGTAAACGTCAGTCCTTCCAATGCCAGTTTTTGGACATTGTCAAGTCTAGAAGAGGGTGGCTTCAATATGCCACTCCAGAATAAGCCTTTAAAACCACTCGAACTCATGAAAGGAGAGATCTGTCCAGTTAAGGGCAGTGGTGCCAAGTCATGGTTTAAGGAGAAAGTGGCAGAAAAACTTTAATATCTGCCACTTCAGATTTTGAAAGCATGTGTTTACCATTTCTAGGAGGCTTTTCTTCAGTTTTGTGGGCTTTTGGAGTCAAAACTACACTTGTAATAGAAAGTTACACTCAGCTATGGGTTAAAATTATAACAATAAGCATTTTTCTGCTCACTCTAACCCTAGTCACTGATGTTGTATTTTATGGTCAGCATTGAACCTAATACGTAGTGGAGTGTGTGGTGTGGTTTTTTTGTGGGAGGTTGTTTGTTTGTTTGTTTGTTTGTTTTGTTTTTTAAGGTTCCTAAAGTTTTCATTAAGAGCCAGAGCTCCTAAGATTGAGTTCACATGCCCTTGATATCCAGTAGATGAACGCACTGAACTGAAAACTTACTCTGACAGTTTCATGGTAGAAGGTGTCAAGTCTTGGGACAATGGTTGTTTCCTCCAGTAAACCCCAGAACTCCTGTTTGTGTAAGGAAGGCTTGTGGTTGAGTGTTACGGAAATGTCTCAAATTTCACAAGAACATGTGGAAACTTACTGGCTTTGTAAATGCAGTAGTCAAATCAAAAGTGGACCATGTGTTTCTAAGGAGATCGATGGCCAACTGTAATAGGCTTAAACTTGGGGAAGATCCTGTAATTTGGCACTCTGGACATGTTAGCACTTTGAAAGAGAAAGTTAGAAATCAGCCAAATGGAAAGGGAACAGTTGAATATTTATGGCTGCAGATGGAGCCCATCTTGAGTGCTAGGTTAGGGTACCTGGAAGACCTTGTTTTCTAGGTTGTTTTTGACTATGGCATGTGAAACTGCAGGAGTGGCATCAATTCAGAGTTTCTCTGGCACTAAGGTTTTCTAGTGGTTTTCTCTCAGAAGTACTTGGAATGCCTGTCATAGGAAGGGAGGGGGGCCCACTTAATTTTTAATTAGGATAGCAGGTGAGATGCAGGAGAGATTTGTGCTGCATTATAGCCTGGTACACTTTGGCCTCTGGCTCAGGAACCTGGTCTGAGTGGAATGTCTTGTCTGCTTGCATGTGGTCTTGCCCATGCATAGGTGGTGCTTTCTCAGCCCTTGTTTGCTGGTGTGGTGGTGTATCACCTGGGTTGACAATGAGGGCAATCTTCAGTCACCATCTTGATGCTAAAATCCGTGCATAAGAGGCTGCTTTTGGTTCCCCTTCTGCTGTGAGGGAGCAGTCAATGGCAAGAACATAGTTCAAAGGGAGATGGGCAAGTGCTGAGGGGAAGGACAGGAGTCATGCAGACCCGGAAAAATGTGGAGTAAAGAGAAGCGAGCGACAGTTACCTGTTTGTGTTTCTTCTCTGAACACAAGTAAAAAATTGAAGTGTACTAGTATGTGCATACGTTGTGCAGAAGGTGAAGTGAGACTTGCCAGAAATGCACCTTTTCTCCTGATGCAGAGTTGCTTACTAAGTGGGATTTTAAGTTAATGGTACTTGATGAAGAGCTTTATTATGGCCAGTCCAGGTATTGTGGGACAGCTGGATTTTAAGGCTGCCTGTAGTTTGTTTCCAGTTGTAGGCCAAGCCTTGTACTGGATGGCAAACAAGACTCAGGGACTGACTTAATGTTCTCCCTGGCACAAAGAACAGATGCCACTCTTCAGCTGAGAGTGTAAACTGGGCATTGAAGTATAGTAGTCTGTGTTGAACAGTGCTTTGTATTCCCCTGCCCATGTCCCTCTGTCCTCAGCCACTGCCAGTAACCTTTTTGGAACATCTCGCCGTTCTCTGGGGCTCTGAATGCCATACACCCCCAAACGAGGTGGGGCTGCTGACTGCCAGCCAAGCTCCTCGCAGCTGTCCAAAGCCTTTTCTCCTCCAGGCCTTGTGCCGTGCGGAGGGAGGGCGGCCGTGCCCGGCCGCCGCGCAGGCCCCGGCTGCGGCGTGACAGTCCCTTTGTGCAGCGCCCCGGTGGGGTTCTGCCTTTCACTCCCTGCTGGCAGCACAGCCTGTTGGATTCCCAGGCTCAGCTGCTGACAGGTGGGGCAGCGGGAGAGCTCCTGTCCCGTTTGGATGTTAATGGTGCCAAGAACAGAGCTTTCCCTGGGCCCTGGGACAGCCTCTCTTCCCTGCCTGGTGCCCCGTGCGTGCAGTGCATACAGCAAGCTCTGAGCCTTCTTGGCAAGGCTCCTTAGTTACATGCATCCTGCTGCTACATGACTTGCACAAGTGCAGGTGTATCTGCCCCACACTCCCATGTGTTTACAGGAGCTTTAGGCCAGCTCTCCAGTTCATATTCAAGCGAGGATAGGCTGAATAATTTCATGGACACCGGGGGGGTGATGTTTACAGACTACGTGGCCTTGCACAGGTTCTGTCTCTGTGCTACTAATGGATGTATCTGCTGAAAGCTCCCTTTGGTTTTTGGGCCTGAAAGGAGCTAGGGCACTAATGCTGCTTTTGTAAGGACAGAAGAAATGTCTGATTCAAGCCCTGAAGATTCTAATTAGTGATGTGTTTGCAGAGAACCTGTGTCCCTGGTATTGGATCCTTGCCTAAGCTAGAGACCACATCAGAAGGGAACAAAGCGTGTCCTTAGGATTCAACAACAAAGTAGTTTAAAAGGAAGTAAAGCATTTAGGGAGAAATCTTAAAACATGAGACAAGGCAGTTCAAAATTACCTTGGCTTATCTGGCAGGGGAGACACCATGGTCAGGCAGCTGGTCTTCCCAGGGCAGGACTCCTCCCCTCCTCTTCAGCTAAGTGCTTCTGAAGGAGGGTAATTGTGATCAAGACTGAAGGGTGCGTGCTGTGTAAAACCAGCCAAGTGTTGTACTTCAGTTACAGTGTCGACCTAAAGACAAGTGGCTTTTCCCTTCTTCCTTGTCTAGTAATGGAGGTGAGAGGTCAGTACTTGGTTTGCAGGTATGAGGATAACTCCTGGGGGTTCGGGAGAAATGTGGTGGAACTTCAGTTTATAGGCTTGCTGCACCCTGTGGCATGTCCCAGGTTTGCCAGGCTTTATCAAGAAACTTCCCTCTCCTTTTTACCTGCAGTGGCATTATACTGCAGGAGTCTTGCCTCTTGTCTCCTGTGACAGGATGGCTGTAAAGCCTTCTTAACTCTTATTTACATAGCACCCGTGGTGTGCTGGGGAAATGGCTGAGGAGAGAGCTTACGTAGCGGTGTAGTTAACTTCTGTGGTGGTTTTGTCCTGGCACAGGGGAGAGCGTATCACTTTACCCACTGCAGTACCTCCTAACGGTGCCACTCATTAGAGCTGCACAAAAGACCTGTCTACAGCCATTGGTGGAGTAGAATACAAATCTTAAAATAGCACAGCCTAGCAGGGTGATTTGTGGCTTGTGCAGGAGTCGTACATTTGTGTGATAAGTGAGGGGCATACCTGAAAACGGAGCTGGACTGTTGGTGGCTGGGAGGCCTGTTACGTTGGCTATGTGTGTTGGCTTGTAAGTAGCTGAAGAGAACAGTTTTGTTTATATATAGCAGCAAGCCTCAAAGAAATGATGGCGATGGAAGAGTGCATTGTATCCCCCACTTAAGACCCCTGAGATGCCCTGTCGTCTGTGTTTGCGCACTGCAGCGGGGGAGGTGAAGGTTAGGGAACTGGTCATCTTTGTGTTCATCTGAACTTACCTCTGGCGTGTTCTCTGCCACCAGTGCAATCTGCTTGTCTGCCTGAGGCTCTTGCTAATGATGTTTCTTTCAGGTCGTCAAGACAATTGGTCTAAGAGAGGTGTGGTTTTTTGGACTTCAGTATCAGGACACCAAGGGCTTCTCAACATGGCTGAAATTGAACAAAAAGGTATGTTTGCTCTAAGCTTTCACGTGCCCTGGGTTCCCTTCTCTTGAAGGGCAGGGACAAATTCAGTCTCCTTACTTCTGTCAGGGTCAGGGATCTGTTCTTGCCCTTCCACATACTTGAAGTGTACTGCAAGATTGCCACATTGGTGTTGTGTTTCTTCAGTCCATGCCACCCCCTCCTCCAGGATACAGGAGTTGTGGTGTCTGACCTGGTTCTCCTGCATCTGGGCCTATTTGTTATCCGGGCCAGACCTGTTACCCTTCTTGGGTAATGTGTTAATGTGGTGGTTGGAGAGAAACCTGGAAAGTAACTTACCTAGCACTGATTGTAACTAGTGGCTTCTTTAGGTCCTGTTAGGGAGAGGTGATGAGGTATTTAGCAGGAAGGAGTTGAAAAATCCTTGTTTTTCTGCACACTCACATCTACATGGGAAAGGAGGTTTTTTTTTTTTTTTTTAACTGTGTGCTTGTCTTCCTGTTTGTAAACCTGCTCCACTTCGCTTGGTATTTAGGCTACAAGAATCTGATAACTCTGTTCCAGGTAACAGCACAAGATGTACGCAAAGAAAGCCCTCTGCTTTTCAAATTCCGTGCCAAATTCTACCCAGAGGATGTGGCAGAAGAGCTGATCCAGGACATCACGCAGCGCCTTTTCTTCCTCCAAGTGAAGGAGGCAATTCTGAATGATGACATTTATTGCCCTCCAGAAACAGCTGTCCTCCTGGCTTCTTATGCTGTCCAGTCAAAATATGGAGACTTCAACAAAGAGGTACACAAGTCTGGCTACCTTGCTAGTGACAAACTGCTCCCACAGAGGTAAGTGAACCTGAGTAGCCTTAGACCACCTTTGCCTTAAAAGCTTAGGGAAATTTTGGGGGTGGGTGAGGGTGCTGGTGTCTTGGTTGGAATGTTCAGAATGAAATATAGCATGGTACTTCTTTGAAGATTGGGAGTATACATTTAATTAAGAGCTTCAATCTTAAAACATACTATTGCTACTGAAGAAACTCTAATCATAAGTAGTCAGAGAAGCTCCAAAACAAAACAGTATAATGCTATAAGGAGAATAAACAGCTGAATACAGCTTGTCATTTGTCAGGATGAATTGAATACTGACCAGTGTGTCTCCAGCCTTATAATAAAACTGTATTTCCTGGAATATTTTTGTGGGGAACTGTGATACCAATGAATATTTAATGGAGCGTCAATCAAGAGTGATGTGGCTGCGTGAACACGTGCAGTGGCTGGTCTTAAACATCCCATGTTCTCTTTCCAGAGTTCTGGAGCAGCACAAGCTTAACAAGGACCAGTGGGAGGAGAGGATCCAGGTGTGGCATGAGGAGCATCGAGGAATGATTAGGTAACTGACACAGTATGAAACGTTGTATTTAAAGTAGTGTGTAGTGTATGAATATATACAAAAATCTGTGTCTTGCTTCAGGATGAGTTAGAATTCTTCAGGTTTACATGCCTCTGCCCTTGCTAGTCCACATCAGCTGTCTGTTCTTAGTAAAACAAAGCTGAGTTTGTGGGGTTTGTAATTATCTACTAGGGTGCTGCTTAGTGTCTTTGCCAGCTTGTTGCTGCTCTGCCCATGTAGGAAGACAGCATCTTCTTACTCTGACAGCTTATAGACTCAAAAAAGGAATACCTGCTTTATTTTTGCATGTTGCAGAGAAGATGCAGTCTTGGAGTACCTGAAAATTGCACAGGATCTGGAAATGTATGGTGTGAACTACTTCAACATTAAGAACAAGAAGGGCTCTGAACTCTGGCTAGGTGTAGATGCTCTTGGACTCAACATTTATGAGCAGAATGACAGGTAATAAACTCCCTCTCCTCATTATTGCTGTCAGCTCCTTTGCAGTATAAAGACATTCACAATTAATTTTTCCTGGAATTCAAGTCTTTAAACTCTAAAGTTTCTATATCATTCTTGGGTATATTTTTGACACTACCAGAATGATCCATAAAACATTCTGCATTGGACCAAAAAACCCCAAGAAAGTGGCAAATCCTATCAAGCTAGTTGTACTTGTATGCCTAGTCTTCCTGCCGCAGATGGAGTCTCCATTTCTCTTTTCCATTAAAAACAAAACAACTCCAAACACAAAGCTGGGGGGGGGCTGGGGGGAAAGGCAGGATTGGAAAGCCTGCTTCTTATGTTTCTAGTTCACTTGCATGACTACCTTGGGTTGCTGATTCCAGTCAGCATAAGAGCAGTGAAATACAAGAGCAGATTTAGTAGAATTTTGAGGTCTATATTGTAAGTCAAGAATGAGGAATGACTTGGGGCTCATATTTCCTTTTGCTTTCCATTTATGCAGGCTAACACCGAAAATTGGATTCCCTTGGAGTGAGATCAGAAATATTTCATTCAATGACAAGAAATTTGTTATCAAGCCTATTGACAAAAAAGCACCAGTAAGAAGCAACATTCAAATTAAACTTTGGGCCTCTTAGATGAATGATCTCTTGTATTGTACACAATCTTTTCATCAATACTGTCAATGCTGACTTAAGCAGTGCTCTACTACCTGATCTATTCAGGGCAGTAGGCACAGAATGGGTCTAATAGCAGTAAGGTGATAGTAGGGATTTGTGTCTGGCTAGAAGGGTAGAAATTTGTTCAGTATAACCTTAAGCTTTTCAAAGTCAGTGGCAGGGAGAAGCTTTTTCCTTGGTGTTTCTGTTCTCCTAAGACTGTTGAGATTCTCTAATAATACAGCAAGGGAGCTGAGACACCTGTTAACCACGAATGCTTCCTTTGCAGCCTGATGGCTTTAGTAATGTGGGATGATCTTTTGAAGTTTTCATGTCACTTGAGGCTGAAGCTTCAGGTCATTTTGTAGGATATGCTGGGAGGGTTATTTTTTTTTCTTGTGAATTTATGATGAGTGTAATTGGTTTAATATTTAAGGCTTGGCAATTTCCTTTGTCAGCTGATACCTTCTGTTGTTCTGGTCACTCTGGTTGCATTGCTGCTTGGAAGCATTTCCCTGCTGCTTTTTAACAAAACAAAATTGTGTGTGCATTGGACATAATGTGTAACCCTGTCTGAGACAAGACATTACACTTGAAGTCATAGTCTGTGTGCCGTGTAAACCAGCTCCTGATGGTGTTTGTAAGGGAACAGTGAAGCTGAGTAGTTGTGTACTCTGTGCCAGGGATGCTTTATAATAAAACCCAGTACACTGTAACTTGGGCAATTCTGCCCTGTGTGTAACTGTCGGGTTGAAATTAATTCCTGAAAGGTGGGTGTCTGACTGCCACCACTGATCCACTGGACACTGGTAAGGGAAGCTGGCCAGCAGTTCTGAAAAGCTTAGGATCTTGGAGCATATTACACACACAGGGGGCTTCTTACGCTTAGAGCGGGTCTGATGCTGCCTCTCTTGTCTCAAGGACTTTGTATTCTACGCTCCTCGGTTACGGATTAACAAGCGGATACTGGCACTCTGCATGGGGAACCACGAGCTCTACATGCGCAGGCGTAAGCCGGACACCATTGAGGTGCAGCAGATGAAGGCACAGGCTCGGGAGGAGAAGCACCAGAAACAGATGGAGAGGTTGGTAGACCTCTGTTCTCAGTAACCTGGACTTTGTCAATCACTGTACAGTAGCATTGTGTGTTAGATATGCTGGCAGCACCTTCATCTGCTTGAGCCAAAAACAGAGCAGCTTGCTTTCTACTCAGCAGATCCAGGAGGATGATTGAATGGCACTTACCACAAATGTGACCCACCATCACTTTCTTAAAGATCTGTCTGTCTATTTGATGAGAGTAATATGGATCTTGGTACAAGGAGCTTTTCCTTACAGTACTGCTATTATGAAATTGTCTTTAAGATGAGCACCAGCAGAGTTTTTTCTTCTTGAACGTCTATGAAGGGTCATGTCTGAAGTAAAACTCATCAGCCAGGAGTGCCTCTTATGTGCTCATGGCTTCACTAGGAAAGCACTCCCATCTGAGTAGCTGCAATTTCAGACTAACACTATGACTTTCTCTCATCAGAGCACTGTTGGAGAATGAGAAGAAGAAGAGAGAGTTGGCAGAAAAGGAGAAGGAGAAGATTGAGCGTGAGAAAGAGGAGCTAATGGAGAGACTCAAGCAAATTGAGGAACAAACCAAGAAAGCTCAGCAAGGTAACGTGAAATGCATTTCCTTAGATGCATAGTCTGAGTGAGAAGAGTTCAAGCAGTAAAGCTATGAGCATCTCTGAGCTATTTGCCTCTCTGGTATCATGTGCTAACTGGTGTTGGGGCCCTGGTTTAGCCTTCTGAAGCCGAACATAAGCCCTCTGTATGCCACTGCTGAAATAGGACTTGCATTAAAGAGATGGGTGGCAGCCAAGGTGCCTCTCACAGTCAGAGTACTTTGTAGTCTTTCATGTGCTGGCTGCAAGCTTTATCCCAGAACATCTGTAGAGGAAGGAGTCAAAAAGTGTATAAGGGTCGCAACTGCCAGTACTCTGCTGTGATTATTATCTGATTGCTCAATGGGTGTTAGTGTGGTGTTGCCCAAGCCAAATTCTGTAGGCTTCTCTGCCTTTAAGGATGTCATTTTGGCATGATTATGTCCCCACAAATCAATCGGGCAGGTAATCTTGTGGCTTGGAACAGGCCTGGCTCTTAGTCTTCCAGCTTCAGTTATAATGTGAAGGAGAGGAAAGGAGACAGTTGCTTTGCATCTCTCCTTTATCTCTGGATGAGGGAAACTCCTCATCCAGAATGTAGGTGTAAGGGCACCTTCCTCTTCGGCTACCATTCTTTACTTTGATCTCTCTTCAAATGCATTCCCCTATTCTTTCAGAACTAGAAGAACAGACCCGCAGAGCTATGGAGCTGGAACAGGAGAGAAAACGGGCTCAGGAGGAAGCAGAGAAACTGGCTAAAGAACGTAGAGAAGCAGAAGAGGCCAAGGAGGCCCTATTGAAAGCATCCCATGATCAACAAAAGACTCAGGAACAGCTGGTAAGTGGGCAAGCTGAAAGTCAGGTAGGAAAATAGTGGCATGGTAGGTAGGCATCTAAGCTCTTGAAGCAAACCAGAGTATGAATATAGTGAGGAAGCATAGTGTGGTTCTTTAATTTTTAGCATCAAGCATATGAACTTATACCCAAATAAAAATATATTTGTATAGTAGATCCTGTTGTGCCTTTTTTTTTTTTTATTTTTATTTTGTATGTGATGCTGAGAACAGAGTGCAGAGCTCACCAATTGCTTTCCTGGGTTTCAATTCAGAGAATTGAGTTCTGTAGCTGTGTTTGTAGGGGTGAAAAAAGCCAAATGAAGCCAACTGGCCCTGCAAAAACCCACGAGAACAACACCCCCCACCCCCACCCCCCCCAAGAAATCCCAAAACTTTGTTTCCTTTTCCCTAGCACCCTGGGGATGTCAGTGGGACTGAAGTTAACAGGAGGGCTTTCTCCTTACTGAAAAGATATTAGAGATACTATTTGAGTTCTGGACTTGGACTAAATGCTGCTTTTTTTGCAGGTGTTTTGGTTTTGTCCCCACTAAAAGCCTTTCTTTTGCAGGCTGCTGAGATGGCAGAACTCACAGCTAGGATCACGCAGCTGGAGCTGGCGAGGCAGAAGAAAGAGAGTGAGGCCCAGGAGTGGCAGCAGAAGGTAAAGCAGGACCTGAGCAAATGGCAATACTTTTTGTCGAGTTGATCCTTATTCTGTGTTGTGACCTAAACTACTGCACTACATACCATACTGGGCTGGGTGCCTGCAAGCTTGAGGCAGTTGCAAATACCCGACTTTGCTTTTCTTGGTGCTACATTGAAACTCCATATAGCAATGTTTTTGACTCATTAGGCCTATAGCCCATTTTCCATGAATTATAACCATTCTTGAAGTCTCTGAAGTGTTGGCCAACAAAGTTTTGCAAGAGACTGGCTGAGTAGTTTGGGAACATACCAGTTTCGTGTGCAAGAGGTGCAAGGTCTCCTGCAGTAAGCACTGAGTAGTGCTTCTCTGTGCTCCTGTGAGAAGTCTCACATGCTTTTGGGATTATGTTGACTAACTCAGTGGCATGCCCTCCTGCAGGCACAGATGGTGCAGGAGGACCTAGAAAAGACCAAAGAGGAGCTGAAGACTGCCATGAGCACCCCTCATGTCACTGAGCCCATGCACTCCGAGAACGAGCACGATGACGAGCAGGACGAGAACGCGGCAGAGGCCAGTGCTGAGCTGCGCTCGGAGGCCACCATCAAGGACCGCAGCGAGGAGGAGCGCACCACGGAGGCAGAGAAGAACGAACGGGTCCAGAAACACTTGAAGGTAACGTGCTGGCAGCAGAGAGGGTGTGTCTGAGTGCTGCTTCTGTTCGTCTTGCCATTCAGAGCAGCTGGGAGGTATTAGTGGTATTAAAAAAAAAAAAAAAAATTAGGAGAGATGGGGGTGATCATCATCTTGCCAGACAGCTGCTTAACCATTGAGCAGAGAGTGAGATTCTCCTGGCACTTGACTTCCGTGTCACTGGAACTAGTGAAGAATTTTCAAGTAGTGACAGGAAGCAACGTCTGTCAGATGTAGTGTGCTTGTGTGAGTCTTGCCAGCCATCTGACAGCTGTTCACAGCCCTGGCTGCAAGGAATCAGAACTTGGTCCAGCTCCTATCACACAGCTGTCTCCAGCTGGCTTGTATGACTGGATTGCATTGCAGAACGCTGAGGGCAGCCCACTGGGGCTCAGCATGGAGAGAGCAGAGTGGCACTGCTTCTTATAAGGAACTCCCATGTTCTGGCGGTGACTCTTTCCAAGCAGTCTGTTACACTGACTTGCACCAGGCTCTGGGTGTTCTGCATCATGCTGTGGTGGTTATGCTCAGGAAGACTGACAGAGGTGCACTTAATCTTCTGCAACATATTTCTTTCATGGCAGGAGGCTTACAGTTATTCAAATTCAGCAAGATGCTCCTGTTGTCTTTAGGGATACCTCCACTCAACTGCTTTTCTGAAGTACACTGGAGGCAGTCTTTCTTAGGATGGTAGACATAAATAGGATGACAGCTGTGTGATGTTTTCTGCCTTCACGTGTTAGGGAAAAATATTAAAAACTTGCACAGAATCATAGAATAGCTTAGGCTTGAAGGGAGCTCTTAAGATCATCTAGTCCCACTTCCTTGCTCAAGCAGGGTCAGCTAGAGCAGGTTGACCAGAACTGTAAACAGTTGGGCTTATCTGTTTCCTGTTTCCATGGATATTGAATCCCTATGAGGATCAGCAAGGAACCTCCCTGTCCAGCTTTGAGTCTCTGGCATGTGCTAACTCTTTGCTATCTGTTCCCCCTTTTCTGAAGGCTCTTTCCTCTGAGCTGGCAAATGCTCGGGATGAAACCAAGAAGACAGCCAATGATATGATCCATGCTGAGAACATGCGCCTAGGTCGAGACAAGTACAAGACCCTCCGTCAGATCCGGCAGGGCAACACCAAACAGCGCATCGATGAGTTCGAGTCCATGTAAACTCTCCCCTTACCTGCTGCCCTGCACTCTTCTCCCCTCTCTCCCATTCTCTCCCATCATTCACTCACAATCATGCTACGCTGGAACCACTACAGAAGAGTGACCATGGTCTTATTTATCAAGTGTTGGGTAAATGCTGGAGTTGAGCAACAGAAGAAAGAATAGTATATACATATTCCTGGGGTGGCTTGGGAAAGCAAACATGTATTTGGGGTAATCTGAAATTGTTTGGCTTTGGGAAATGTCTCACTGCACTTAGTTTTGTTATTACTTACTGAAGTGGCTGTTGGTGTTCTCTCCCTTTGGGTGGGGAAGCCAGCAGATACTTCTACTGAATTACGTACGGTAAAGTGCTAACGGTTTGACACTGTGCCTTCCTACTAACCTGCACAAGCTTCAGTATTAAACTCAGTAGCCAGGGTATGAATTTCTGACTTAACAGAGGGTCTGAATCATGTAGTTGAGAAGGGGAGGCTGAAGCTTAGAAAGAAGACTTGGAGGTAGAATATGGACTTTCTAAAAGACCAAAGCTTTTGTCCTTCAAACATAAGCAGACCAAACAGATTTTGTGTCATTCCTGC